ATATATATATATATATATTACTTTACCAGTATTGAGATATTTCAACTGTACGAAGAGAACAAAAATAAATAAAATAATAAAAAAAAAGACACAAGGCATTACATTTTTTTTGTATTTGACTGGGATTTATTGATTTCCACTTCTTTTTTTTATTTCATTTTTTTATCCTCTCGCTTTTTCTCTCTTAACAGTTTATCCTTTATGTGTGGGTCATGAAAGGGTTTGCATTAAAGTAGCAATATCATCAATAAGAACAATCTTTGTTTTTTGGGGAAAGAGAAGAAATATGGTTCTTGGGTTACTGTAGAGAAAAGAAAAGGAAGAAAAAAACTCTCTCTTTATATTATTATCTCTCTTTTCTTTTCTTCTCTTTTTCTTTTTCTTTTTTGATTTCTTTGCGTCTGTCTCTGTACACTAAACTGTACGGACGGATATAATATAATAGTTCAAGGTGGAAACTCCCAGATTGGTCTGGTTTCTGATATTGAAAACTCCCATTTAACAAGTTATATATATATATATATATATACTGTTATTTGGCACAAAAGAAAATACATAACTGCAACAAAGAAAAGAAAAAAAAAAAGAAAAAAAAAGAAAAGAAACAGAGACAAGACGATTGGTTTTTTTTTTTCTTTCTCTTCTCTCAGTAATTTGATATTAAGGAGAATGTCAGAAATACCAAATGGTGCCTCTCTTGAGGTATCCCCAGCGCCTGAACCTCCTGTAAATGGAAAGGAAAGTTTAGTGCCAAAAGAAAGTAATAGACGTGAGAGAACTATTTCTTCAGCCGCAACCTCTCTATCTAATGAAACAATGGTGTTAACTCCCAGAGAAAGATTTGCTCGTGTAATTGAAAAGGTTTTACACACAATAGATGAACGAGCCAAACGTGCTGTGCCTAAACACTATTGGCATGAAGAAGACTCTGTGGATGAACTCACTTCTTGTATGATTTACGATGGTCAACAAAAATTAGAACCTCCTCATAATGTGGTATTAGATACTATGATTGCTAAAGGTATTCCTGTACACAGTGCAAAGGAACTTCTTTCTTTATTACAAAACACTGAACATTTACATTTACTACGAACAGAAGAATTATGTGAAGTGGTACGACTTGCCTTAAGACGTGAATACATAAAAGGTGAAGTAATATTACCAGCAGGATCTCAAACTATGCATGTGTATGTTGTGATTTGGGGTGAAGTGGATGTGTTTGCCCCAGATAAAGATTCCTTACATAGACATCATCATCTACGACGTCGTCATTCTCTCTATTCTCATCATTTAAATAAACGCTCGTTATTAACAAGTCAATCTTTTTCATCTATTCCATCCTCTGGAGGATTTGGACCTTTTGTACCGAGACGATCGACTCCTAATTTTGATTCTCGTTGGCAAACACCATCGCCTCCTCCAGACCAAGATGAAGATTTATGCATGACTCACTGTGGGAAATTAAAACCAGGTATGTTGTTTGGATTTGATGCCTGTGTGTTTGAGGAAAGTTCAGCTTTACATTATGTGGCTGGAAATGAGAGTGAAGTTACCGTAGTGGCCCTTTTACCACTTCCACAAGTGAAGGAACTCTTAAGAGGAAATGTTTGTCTTGCTCAAAGTGTCGGTCACAGTATCGCACAGGAAGATATATTTATTCCTGTACGTGAATTCTGTCGATATGTATTTGCCCCTACACCTGATATGAATGAATATTTACCACTCTGGACTATTCTAAATCGATATACAAAGATTAATAATGTGATTCACACAAAATTATTTAGTGGTGAAATTGATACCGCCGCTTGGGGATATGCATTGAAGCGATTACCAGAAAATGTCACCACAACATTTTGTTTTGATCTCGTTTTGGCTCTTCCACCTTTTGTGGCCACTCGAATGCGAGAGGAGGCGAAACGGGCAGATGTTCATCGAACCTCAAGAGATTTTAAACGTACGGAAGTAACATATATTCGTACAAAAGAACGTCGTCGTTGTACTTGGCATCTTGGAATGGAAGGGAAAGCTCTTGTATTGTTGCGAGATGGGTTTACAGATCTTTTGGATTTTCTTTCTATGTTGTGTGTTCATATTATTGAAAGTAATAAATTGCGTAGTCGTGTACAGGGAATGGTACATCCACCAGCGATTGATGTATTGGATGATTATTTACGAAATCGTGAAATAGAGGAAGTAAATGGGTGTAAACTATCCAAAGAAGAAGAATTAAATCGTGTGGAAAAAATATTATCTACAATGCCATTAGATAAGAATGAACAATCTGGTTTATTAGGTATTTGGCATAGTGATACACTTGGTAAGATTTATGAAGTTATGATGCATCGTGAGGAATTTAATGTACGTGTGGATCCCAGTGTTTCCCGTAAATTTCAAACAAGTCCATTTCATGAATGGGCATTAAATTTACGGGCATGTATAATGCAGAAAATGGGATTAGATCGTAATTTACCTCCACCGCATGATCTTTGTATTGATATTGTAAGTAGTAATACACATTGTATTAAGAATCTCTTATCCGGTTTTCATCGTAAGAATCGACATGTTGTGGAGGAATATGCGAGAAATGATAAACGATTAGGGAATATTGATGAATGGCATACTATTGAAGATGCCTTATATGCCTCTACCGCTTCTCTCTTGGCAACAGAACGACAAGAGTTAAAGGAAGAATATGTACGTGCATTGGATGAGAGTGGGATTACAGTATTGACAGATACGGCAATGACTGGACTTCAAGTAGATGTCATTCCTGTACATGCCTTAAACTTTAAAAAGATTGATACCGTTTTACAGGAATCTCTGAAAGATTCCGTTTTACAGGATTCAATGAGAAGATCGGTAGGTGATGGTATTGAACAGAGTTCTACGGTTTGGCGAAGAGTTTGTCTTCCACGTCGTGGTCCTGGTGATAGAAGTCAAAACTGTGATGATTCTGCCTGTTATCGTTTAAATCGACATTTCATTATTAATATGGATTTCGCCTTTGGAGCTCAGGCAGAAGGAATTTGTCAAGCCATCTTTAGTGTATTTGGTTCCCGTATTCGTAGTGTAAGTGTGATGGGAAAAGCCGGTGGACTCACTGGTAGAAGAGGCGATATTCAATTACCGCGGGAGTTAGTCATGTCGAAATCCAGTCTTATCATGGAAGATGCTCAGGATGAATTACGGCGTTGTCGTAATCAAGATTTCACTGCCGCGCGATTACGTGAACTCGCCGGTCCATCTGTGGAAGTTCACGAAGGAAGAGTCGTCACGATTGCAGGAACTATGCTGCAGAATGTTCGTATGCTGCAATTTTATAAAAACATATGGGGATGTGTGGGGGCGGAGATGGAGGGATCTTACTTTGCCCGTGTGATTGAGGATATGTACCGGCAGGGCATTGCGAATCCAAATCTCATTACTCGCTTTGCCTATTACACCAGTGATTTGCCGCTGGCGTGTTTGGAGTCCGCCTCGCGGGGGGGCGGGGGCGATCAGAGTTTGTCGGCCCCAATGTCAGCAGCAGAGGGCGTTCCTCCGCTCTACGCGATCGCACGTGGTATTCTGGAGAGAATTCTTTTAACGTAAATATTATTATTTATTTATTTATTTATTTATTTATTTTATTTATTATTATTATGATGAGGATGAGGATGATGAAAAAAGAAAAAGAAATCATGAGAAGAGAAGAGAAGAGAAAAAAGAAATAAAGAAGGAAGGGAATGTAGGTTTGGTGGGATATATATATATATATATATATATATATATATATAATATAATATATATTGTTGTTACAAAAGATGGGTTTGTACATCTTTTTAGGGTAAAAAGAAAAAAATGGAGAGTAATGACCCCTTGAAAAGGTGGGGTAGTGGTGATGGGTGTTGTCGTTATTATGTTGATTACAATTTTCCTCATTTCATTTACAACGATAATTGAATATTTTTGATTAAATGTAAGTATAAATAAATAAAGAAATATATATATATGTGTGAATAATAAGAAGAGGTTTTCCCCTTTTTTTGTTTTCATTGCTATTATTTATTCTTATTATTATTCTTATTGTTATTCTTCTCTCCTTCTCTTTTCTTTGCACTTATCTATATTACCAAGAAAGAGGAAAGGAATACCAAAGAAAAAGAATAAAAAAAAAACACGAACGGACGCATCATCATCATTATCATCATCATAATAATAACAATAATAATATTTACTATACTATTACTACTATTATTTATTCTTCCTCTTCTGATATTTGTGTATGGCAGTCTATGGCTCTATTGTATCATCAATGGTATGATACAGACATTACGGCTGTTCCCGCAGCGGGAAGTCATTTCCGTGAAGTGCGGCTCTCGTGGTCCTACACAGATCCAAAGAGAAGAGAAACTCTTCTCGTTCTTCTTCTTGCCGCTCCCGCAGCTATCACAGCAGAGACGAGTGATGATAAGAGTACATTATATGCATTAAAGATAACACTATTTAAATCCGCAGAAACAGAAGGAAAAGGAGGAATAGAGACAGGGAATGAAATCCCAACAACAACAACACCAAAAGAAGAATTACATAGTGCCGTATTTGAATTACACAATTCACCGGATGTTTCTGTTATAAAAGGAACAAGTGGTCTTGTTTTTATTTCTACACGGCAATTCTTTTTCCTTTCTTCATCTGAGGAAAAGGAATTGGATCGTTTTGTTTACATTCATGAATTTGGATGGGAACGACAACAACAAGTAATACGACCATTAAAAGATATAGAATCTATTCAACATGTATTTATGGAGGAAAAGGGGGATATGGATAAGCAACTTCTTCTTATTACACGCATTCCTTCTCCTCCCTTATCATCAGAGTTATGTAAAAATAATAATAATAATAATAATAATAATAATAAGAATAATAAGAATGTAAGTGTGGTGGATATATTAGTGGTTGCATCAAGGAAAGAGTGTAAAGGAAAAAACGCAACATCCAAAGATCGTTTGGTATCATTGGCAAACAAAAGTGGACTCTCATTAGGATTATCGCATGTAAAAGAAAAAATAGCCACTACAGCCTCATCCTTCACATCATTCTCATCAGCAGCGAGAAAAGAAAATGAAAAAGAATCATTATATACTTTTATTCTCGCAGTTGTGCGGTGTAGTATTGGGAGTACACGTATTGCAACTGCGGAATGGGAACTTATGCATCTTTTCGTTGATCGTGCCGTACCATTTCAACGTTATGTTCATGATATCATTACACGTGGATCCTCATGGATCCCTACTACTAGTAATAGTAATAATAATAATAATAATAATAATAATAATAATAATAAATCTACAGATACGATAGTAAAACCAAATCAATGCACATGGTGTTTTCTACAATACCCAGTGACGATACCTGCAGAGAAGTCCATACGACGTGGTGTAGTGATCGCGTTAGTGCCACGATGTAATAATGATTACTTTACTGTTGTGTGTGGTGGTTTTGATGTGGAGAGTCAAGTCTATCGATTGGGGTTTGTGAGTGGTGGAAAGACGGCAGGGTGTAGTGCTGGTAGTAATAGTCCACAAGAGATGATGATAGAGGAAATGGATAGTCCTGAGGAAACACTATGGAGTCTTGCAGAGGATACACAAACAGTACAGATGTGTATGTTGGGAAAACCAGTGGAGTGTTTATGTGGAGAAGAGAAGGAAGTGTCATTCGTAAACAGTGCATCACAAGATGCGGGTCCTCATATACATGGAGGTATGCATTCTGTGAAGCATACAAATCCTGTTGGAATGACTGGTATTAGAGGGAGAAGTAATAGTCATCTCTATACGCATAGTAATAGTGTTCATAGTAATAGTAGTTGGATGCGGCATACAGGATTAGCCATGGTACTTCGCTTTGTAGTGGATTTCCTGGATGATGGTTTAACGAGTATAGATGGTAATAATTTAATTGATAATAATAATAGTAGTAGTAATAATAATAGTAAACAAAGACGTGAACAGGAATTATTATTACCGCAGGGTCTTTATATTACTACTATTCTTCCAACAGAGAAAAGTCGTCATGGTCGTTTTCCACTTCCACATTCTCTCTGTTGGTTAAATACCATTCCATTACCAATTGGTCAAGCCGCTACAAGTACAGTTCTCTTCACAGAGGGAGAGAATAGTAATGAACGTCCATTGTTAATGAATAGGAGTTGTAGTCATAATAAGAATGGAATGTGTGTAGTAAAAAGAAGAGAAATTGCAGAGGAAGAGACTACTTCCTGGTATCATGTACTGCCAACCTCAATGATATCAACATTTCCTGTTCGTATGGGAGAAGAAGGGGCGGTTCGTTGTTTTGTGAGTGTAAATGCTTTGCTAAAGAAAACTAGATTAACCTTCACTGTTGAGATGGGAGGAATGAATACAATCCCAACAAGAACAACAAGAACAACTCCAAGAACATCAACAAGAACAACTCCAAGAATATCACCAACAGCGACACCAAAAACAGCAGGAATAACAGGAAAAATAAGACAAAAAACAACAACTTTGGATTCTTATGTTCCATCTAAATTATTGCGGGTTGCACACTTAATGTATGTTCGACCAACCATAACTGGAAATAGGAACCCTGTGCATGATACTATAGATAGTAATGTTGACACCTCTGTAGATGATGAGAATGGTAATAATAGTAATAGTGAAGAAGAGGAAATGATGTTGGCTGTATGCCTAGCGCGTGCAGTGGCAGCGAAAGAAAATAATAATACATTTGATGAAAATTCCCAACAATCTCTTCTTACTGTTAATCCTACTATTACTAATAATACTATTACTAATACTAATACTAATATTATTAGTGATATTCCTATATATGATTTCCTGGAAGATTGGGCTGCTGCGGAAACGGTGATATATGAAGTCTGGCGTCATGTTGCTATGACTAAACACACTTCTACCACCATGCGGTTCCTTGATTATTTAACAGAATCCACAGAAGTATTAGAAACACAGAATAATAACAATAATAATATTATTACTACTTATGTTAATGATGATAATGATATACTATTACTAGCCAACTCCCTACGTCGTTTTCTTTTAGCCTTTTTAATTGAACTCGATTGGACCACACAGTGTGATAACAGACTCCTTCGCTATGTTGTTTTATACATGCTTGGGGCTGTGAATGTATATACACAACTCCCACAAACACGAGAAGATTCCATGCGTGATGGAAATTCATTTATTCCACTCTTAACGCCTAATGAAAGACGCGGTATGTGTGTATTACTTTCACACAGTAAAGCCTGGTCATCTCTTGCCATTGCCCTCTTTGCATGGGTTAATCATTCATCATTAGAGAGAAATGGAGAGACATTGGTATTAGAAGATGTTGTCCATGCATGGGAGGAAATGACTGTAGATTACACAGAAAAGAAAAAGGAGGAAATTACCTTTGAGTCTATTTTGCAGCAGTTATGTAGATATCAAGATGCTGGGAAGTATCAACATGCCGTTGCGGCACTTGTGCGAGGAGGTGTAAACATGCGAGGTATTCTTTCACTTGTGGGATGGAAAGGGAATGAAATACGTATGAATGCTTCTATCATTTTACTTCGATTGTTCTTGGAAGTGTCAGCTGCATGTGAGGAGACTATTAACATTACTAATAATACTAGTATAATGACTGCAGTAGAAATTTATCAACTTGTGGAATCTACAATATGTAGACTTTTTCCAAAGAAAGAAGATATCCCGTATGAACTACCAGAATTATTATATAAGTGGAATTTTGGCTTTTTAGAAGGTTGGCCTCTTCATACTATATACGGTGGTTTACCGTTCATCTATTTACTCTTTTATATTGCTAGTGTTGGTGAAAAGTCTAATACCGATTATGATAATGATAATAACGTCCATCTTAATAATAATAATAATAATAATAATATTATGAAGGCCGTACATGTACTCTGTTGGCTCGCTGCAGATACAGTCAATCGCTCAGCAGAAGTATTGAATATACTCTGCGAGGCAAAGATACCATTAATGTCACTCTCTTTTACAGAAAAAACAAGAGAGACTTCTCATGACTCCCATACAGATGTATCCTCCGTCAGTGATGGTAATCATAATAATAATCAGAGAAGTAATAATAGTAATAGTAATAGTAATAGTAATAATAAGGCTTCTTGTAGAGCTTTTCATTACTTATTGGCTTCTCCTACACTATCTCTATTATCACATGCTCTCACATCCACCATCATTGACACTCATCATGTAAATTATGATAATAAGGATAAAAATATTTTTAATGCGAAGAACTTTATTCTTCAGATGTGGAATCTTGTACTTGAAGGCGATGAGTCCGCAGCATTTAATCCTAATCTCCTTCGACAATTATATACATCACTTCAATCTTATAGTAATATTATTCCACAGGGAAATAGTCGTGAAACTCCATTATTATTAATGGATTTCTTACGGCCTGTTTTCATATCAACTCTTCCACGAATTCTCGCAGCGGTTGGTGATAAACGAGAAACAGTTGGAAGTGCACTTGTAGCGATTGCCGCAGCAACTCCAATAACTACATCCACAACAATATCAACAACAACATCAATAACAATAATAACAACTAGAGGAGGATCAACAGGAATTGTGCAATTGTTAGATCCTCCTTTAGATGAGAGTGAGAGTCTTGAAAAGGTCTGGCGTACGATCATACATGAAGTTAAACAATTACTATTACTATACGCAGATGATAGTCTTGAAGTTCAATGTCTTTCTTTGTTGTTTACAGCCTTTCGAGCCTGGTCTAATGCCTTATTAGAGTATTCTAGTCAAGTGAGAGGTGGGTTTGGTCCAATGATAATAGAGGAAGAAGAAGTAATATTTACATTCTCTCCAGCAGAAATGTATTTTCTGGCTTTGCAGATACTCTCAAATGAGTCTGCTCGGTTTGTTGTGGCCACAGAACTCATTCGTCGAAGTCTTCAACCACACTTATTGCAACAACTAAATAATATACTACCAGAAGAAGAAGAAAAAGAAGAAGAATTAGAAGAAGGTGTGAATAAGACTTCTACAGATACCACTATGAATATTGGTACTAGAGGAAGTGATGATGATCATCATCATAATTATTATAATAATGATGATATCAGTACTACTTCTACCAAGCGAGTATTATGGCGTGGTAGTAAGATCTATTTAAATGATATTATAGAAAGTATGAGTCTTATCTTTTCTGCCTTTGAAAAGACCGCACCACTTTATGCACATGCCTTACTTTTTCTTATTTTAGATGAGGCCGCTGCTCTTACACAGATGAATGAAAGAGATACAGGCGTCGTGATTGGAATGCGAGGAGAGAGACGGTTTCCATTGGAAGTTCGTCAAGAGATGCTTCACTATACACAAAGAGCCGCTAATGCGGAGTGGATGAAATTACATCGACAAGAAAAGAAATTGATTGCTTGTATTTTATCGGATCGTTTAGAACTTCCAAAGGTAAAAGATGTTGTGGATGGGGCCTATGTGGAGAGTGAAATACATTATCAAACCCAACGAGTCTTTGAACGTGTACGGGAAACAATGCAACAACGAGAAATTAATACAGTGTTATTAAATAGTTTAAGAAAATCTTTCTCTCATCATACACAAACAGAGGGGAGCTTAGGAAGAAAAGATGATGATATTTCCTATTCTTCTTCTTCTTCTTTACATGCGGAAGAAAGAATCTGTCCTTTCTCTACAAGTATTATGTTACTTGTACGAGAAGAGGCTTATGTGCGACAACATCTTCAACAACGTTTATGGGCAAAATATAATGAATTCTTCAGCAATAGTAATAATAATATGAATAATGAATTTACGATAGCGCTGGGAACATTATATTTAGCCCTTCGTGAAGAGCAGCGAAGACGTGTATTTGTTCGATATGTATATGAACAACATGATATAATAGCCACCTTTGTGTATACTTTATATGTAGATATACGTGAAGCCTGCAAGAATGGGGCTCGTCTCTTACTTCAAGACGCATTAGAGGCTATTCGTAAACGTATACATTATCTATTACTACAGGAACGAGAATCCCGCACAGCTGTAGAGGCTCTTTATTGGGCTCAACGTAGTGTATTTATCGATATGCATCAACAGCAATTGGCTTTATTAGAGGCAGAAGAGCACTTGCGAGAACAATACATCACGGAGGAAGATTTACAGCGGGATGAAATGTATGAAATGTTTGCGAGAGAAGAATTAGAAGCCCAACGGCGATGTGAGGAAAGATTAGAAGAAGAGGCTTGGCGTTCAGAAGAGGCACTATGGGCAGCCGAACAAGAAAAAGAAGAAAAAGAACAAGAAGAAGAAAATGATGATGAACACACAATGGTGGGTGGTGAGAAAGGGAAATGTATAGGAAATAAACGTTCACGCACGAATGCATTTCTGCAATGGCAGGAACGTCAATTGGCCGCAGCAGCAGAGAAGGAACAGACATTCACTACTACTACTAGTACTAGTACTAGTACTACAAACATAACAACAAGAAAAGCTCTCAAGTCTACTATAGTAGAGGAAGTAAAAGAAGAGAAAAAAGAAGAAGAAGAAGTGAAAAGAGAAGATATTTCACCAGCAGCACCTTCTCTATCTATTAAAGAAGTCTTTGCCCCACTTCTGCAAAGTGAAGAAACTCACCAGCGAACAGATGATGGAAGTAGTGGATACCGTACACTATTAGACTCCTCAGATTCCCTCTTTAGTGCCTTCTCACGATTACAAAAACAAATTATCTCTACTGTTGCCCCTCCCCCACCACCACACTCGCAGAGTGGTAAAAGTAAACAAACAACAATGATAATGGATCCACCTGTTTATCAATACAAAGAAAAAGAGGAAAAGGAAGAGAAGGAAACAGAATATGTAGATCAACAAACACATGCATCTAGAGAAATTCCACATCCCATTATGGAGACGAAACTGGTGAGACCACAAACGAAATCCGTCAAGGATGAATGGGATGAGACATTCGAGGCGGTCTCTTTTCCATCCACACTGCGAGCACCTGATGAAAGTCCTGCTGTGAACAGAGAATTACCCACAGTTGCCCAAGAAGAAAATGATCATCATAATAACAAAAACACTCAGAAGATCCAACGCCTACGCCTGTCCTCAACAGCAGCAACAGCAGCAACGGGTAAACGTAAACCCCCGCGGAGACGTGGATTGGGTGAAGTGGTAAACTTAGATGCGGCACTGGTGGAGGAGAAAAGCACAGAACCGATAAAACCACAACAACCACAACAACAAGAAGAAGAGAAGGAAAAAGAAGAAGAGAAGGAAAAAGAAGAAGAAAAGGAAAAAGAGCTTGAGAAGAATAATGAGAAAAAGAATAACATGATTGATCCCGCATTGGATAACACAGGTGTTGAAAGAGTGTTAATTCCCACACAAGAAGTGAAGGAGGATACTGTAAAGACTGAAGCCATGAGTGTCAGAGAAGTGGCTTCTGTGAAAGAAGAAGAAGAAGAACAAAAACAAGAAGAGGATAATGAGTATTCTATGGCTGCTCCAGAGATCCCAATAGTACGATCAAAGAAGAGAGAGGAAAAAGTCTCTCAGAGTGAATTGTATACAATAAAAGCGGAGGATAATGGCAGTGATAATAACAATACTGTTGCTATGGATTATCCTAACAATAATGATACTAATAATAATAATGATACTAATAATAATAATATAACGACGGAGAAGGTTGTGTTTGAGTTGTCTCCTGAACAAATAAAGATGTTGCAGGATGATGTGGAGGTGAGTCGATTAGTTGTTTGTAATGAAGAACGTTTAACACGTGCATTTCTCGTTAGGCGTTTTCTTCTGGAGTTATAGTGCTGATTCTCTTGTACATTTTGGTTTACAAGAGAAGACATAAGGATGGTAGGAAGAATAACAACAACAACAACAACAAAAGTCGTATTAATTATTATTATTATTATTATTATTATTATTATTATTATTATTATT